TCTCTCTCTGTGTGTGTGTGTGTGTGTGTGTGTGTGTGGCGCCAACAGAAATAACAGCTTTATTTTTTTTTCTTTTTGTTTTTTCTATTTTTTTCCTAGTTTTTGTTCCCGTTGTTTTCTCGCGCTAGGCCTGGGAAGTGAAGAACCGGTAGTTCGAGCCTCGGCAAGGCTCGGCATACCGGTCCACCGAGGCTCGGACTCAATAGCAGGGCGAGGTACTGGTGGTTTAATGTGATTGGGGGGAGGTTGGGAGACGATGAAAAGGGAGGCGCAGGTACTGGCAAAATGATCAGCCTTTGCATTAGCGGAGCCCCCCGGCCGCCCCACCCTGTCTCTGTGGTGGGAGGCAAAACATGCAATCCCTTCATTGTGAGGTAGCTATGCTTGCAGGGGTCCCCTCTATATTATAGCCTCTATATAGCCTAAGGCAGAAAATCATTTGAGAGAGGTATATAACATACTTGGAAAAAAAAAAAAAAAAAAAAAAAAAAAAAAAAAAAAAAAAAAAAAAAAGGTGAGAAGACTGCAAGTGTACATCTGGTTTCAGTAAACACATCAATCTCCCGAACAACCCCTGCCAAGGTCTGATCTTTTTTTTTTCTTTCTGCCTTTTTTCTTTCGAGCAAGCACTCTCTTCATTAGCCATGAAAGGGAAAACCAAGCACAGGACTGAAAGCACGAAAGCTTGCCTGCAGTTGCGCGTGCCCTGCCACATGCTGCACGCAACGGCGAATTAAAAAAATGAAAAGCGAGTGCATCAGTCCCCAGACAGAGGGGGGGCAAGATAGACCCGTTTCTATTCCTTCATAGTCACCCATGTGCCTTGCCTTCTGCTGTGGGAAGATACGCTTGTTTATTGTTCCTTTGCGGTGTCACAGTGGTGTGCTGAGGCCCTACATACCATAACAGGTTGCACACACTTCAGCCATCATGCCCGACTGACTGAAAGCCAGCCTGAGACCAAATACTAACAGGAAAGGGAGGTTGGTCGCCCATGGCAGGGCAGGTCTTTACAGCCGTATCTGGCATGTAAATTGTGCCATATACACCTACATAATAACCCCATGCATTGTTTAAAGGGAACAGCTGCACAGCTAAACTGCACAAGGGGGTAGCCTTCAGAAGCACATTGGACTTGAGCCAGTACACGGCCCGAGCCTTGCTGGAGATGCAACCCGTCGCCAACGAAATATCCGGAGGCTCGGCCTACAGGATCAGAATGGCTAGCGGCGCCAGCACAAAAAGAAAAAAAGAAAAGAAAGGAAGTGCACCGCTGGCGGTTTGGGAAAGCTTGGCGTCCAGTAATGAGCGCCTCCAGGCCCCGGCGTACTGGTGGTTCAACTCAAAGAATCTCCCTACAATTCGCTTAACTTTGCCAAAATGCCCTTTCTCAGACCTCCGTGTAATTTGCATTATCTCCCTCTAAAGACCAACCACTAGGCCTCCTCTGAAGTCGTGTGGATATAGCAGTGACCATGGCGAGCGTGCCCACAAGAAGACGAGGGACCTGTTGGGACCTGTTGGGACCTGTTGGTTCCATGGCGAGTGTTGCCGAAAGAAGATGTACAACTTGTTGATTCGAGGTCCGGTGCCCCGTGTGCGCTCGTTATCGAAGTTTTGTGGCGCAGCCGTGCATTCAGAACACCACTCCACCAGAGGGTCAACCAGACAGAGGTTAGAAGATTTTTCTAAGCCGTCGAACTGAGCACGCAACGGCCAAAATGGAAATGAAAATTTGTGAGCGGCACTAGGCCCTTGTCTTCTCAAGCAGCGCTGTGCACCGTCTCGTGTCATAAAGAAAACTCCAAATCGACGTGTATTTGTCGTTTTCTATATGGCACCAGACTGGGCACAGTGCTGCTTGAGAAGAAAACAGATTTGGGAGTGCAATGGCCCCTCTGGGTCACAGACAGACAGACAGACAGACAGAGAGAAAGACACACACACACACACACACGCACGCACACACACACACACACACACACACACACACACACAGACGTGGACTGCAGGAGAAAGGGTGAGGGAACCTCGTTATGTTCAATCATGAAAAGTGTGTAGCGTCCATAGAGAGAGAGAGAGAGAGAGGGGGGGAGAGAGAGAGAGAGAGAGAGAGAGAGAGAGAGAGAGAGAGAGAGAATGGAAAACTCTCTCTCTCTCTCAACAAATGATGGATCGTCC